TGAAGGAGAAGAAATCTGAGAATCCGGACTCTGCTGTTTCCCTCTCCGAGGCTCGCTGAGAGAGGAGAAATGGGAGAGCGGGGCTGCCTTCAGTGAAGGTGGTCCACGAATGGAGAAGGGCGAGACTCATGCTTTCAACGAGAGCATTCCATCTCAGTGAGCGAGCAGTCTCTGCGTGGGGGCTGCCCAGACAGGTGACACACTCACTGCCCTTCTGCAACACTCGCAGCGCGATATTTGCAACAACGTCGCTAGAATTTGCTCTTTTAAGGCTTACCTGCTAGAAATAAGCTCTTTCAGAATCGCTGGATGGCGACAGGGGAACAGGACCGGAACTGCTGCGATGCTGAGGCGTCAAGAGAGCCGGTCAGCCGAGCAGGGAGGTCTCAATCCAGGATCTTTCAGGATCAGCGATGAGCGTAGACTCGTCGCTGAAGGAGAAGAAATCTGAGAATCCTGTGGCGAACGCCCGCTTATATAGCCAGATGCCCCGCCCATTCGCTATACCCCGCCCAGCTCCGCTGCCTAGCCATTGGTTCGTTTTTAATACACTGCACGAACCAATGGCCATGCAGTTTCACTGCGTGAATGAAAAAAGGCTTCAGTTCAGGAGAAAAAAGGCTTTTTCCCATATGCGTCTAGCAAGACGCAGTACGAGTGTAGTATCGAAAGGGAACAATGCTTTTGGGAAACACACCCCAGATCTGAGCATGCAATGATTTTGGCATATTTTTGTGTACTATAAGTAACAGACCAAAGGGGTTAGAATTGGTTAGCTTTGTAAAGTTAGTTGCTGCTGGTAGGCCATTATAAAGAACACTGTCAAAAATTTGCAATAATTGCATATGTACGTCAATGCGGCAGTAAACTTAAAGGGACATCTCTTTCCCTAAAAGGTGCATATTTATACCTTACAGTAGTACTGTACTGCTATTAACCTTTTAGGGGTAAATAAGATACAAAGATGTCCCTCTTAAGGTTACGAACTGTTGAGCCCCTAATGGTACAATTTTTGCATTTTTTTGCAGAGTGTAGCCATTTATTCTAAAGAAATACATTTTGCAGATATTTCACTATGTGATAGATGTTTTTTCCAGTGAATATTTTGTGGAGGGCTCTTAAAAGCATAAAATGGATCTATAATAGGACTGTCTGCGGCCTTTGACGTCACAGCCCAGAAGAGGTACTATTGTGAAGAGTTTGGGAGTGTGAGCGATTTTGTGGTGTCATTCATCAATTTATGTTGTCAGGACATCACTTTCCTGCGGCTCTAGAGTAGGGTGACCAGACGTCCTGGTTTTTGGTGTCCTGTCCTCGGAAATGGCCCTGTTTTATAGCACGTTCAAAACAACGCTTACTTTCACCAGCAGATGCGCTGCAAGCTATACTGATTACTAGTTGCGTGCCGCTACTGTAACCATGAAGAACTTGGAAGAGAGCAGAGCGCCATTATCATCATTTATCAAAAGAGACACTGTTATTGGTTTCAAGGTAGTCACATACTAACTATATACATGTCAAAACAAAGTAAAACGTTTGTGTGCACTTTATAACAAGGCATGATAAGGTTGCGGGATTGTTTTGCACACAGTATTAAACATTCCTGAGAATTCCGCTGTCACAACTCCGATATGAATAATATAAAAAAAGAATAAACTAAACAATAACACTTGCAGAAAGCACATACTTTGTGGTCAAAATGAGCCTAAAATACAAAATAATAAGCCTGATTAGGGATAGTAAAATCATAAACATAAAATAACTAATTTGAAAAGTTGTAATTACTTTATACTCCCAGTTTGTGAAAATGTTAAATACAGTCAGAAAATGTTTAAAAATATTGAGTAAATACAGTTTTATTTATCATATGTTCTTGTATTTATTGTTTTATTTTTAACGTGTTTTTGTAAAGTCATAATTTTGTTATAATCATATTTACTTGTAATCTGTTTACTATTTGCTATAGTTACTATTTACTTTTCATAGTGTGATTTTTGGTGAACCGTAGGCCTATTGATAAACTAGGGTAAGTTTGATCCCTAAACATCATTGTAATTATTAATTATGATATTAATTATATGGAAGCCACAACAATTAAAAAAACATACACAAATATATTGTCCCTGTTTTTTTAATTTGTAGATAATCACAAGTGACATTTCAATTATATTTTGACCACTGAACTAGGAAATGTCCCTGGTTTTCATTCCAGAAATCTGGTCACCTTACTCTAGAGTTAGCAGACAACTTTATAGTTTAGAACAACTTAGTGCTTAAATATTAATTTAAGGGGTTTTGCTGAAACCAGGCTTTGGTGATTAGAAAAAAATATACTGTCTGGATCTCAGTTCCCATGAGCAAAGATGGCAGATTTCAAATCACATTCTTCCAGAGGGTCATACATTTTGTCAGCTGAGTAACTGTCATTAAAATGAATGAGATTGTTAACGGATAGCTTTCTCCAGGTATTATAGACCTGCTTGCATCAGACGGTCAGTAAATGGACTGTGGCTGACACTACAGGATTTAAAACATCAAGTGATATAAACAAAATGTGAAGAAAACTTTTATGAGTTGATTGTTAAACAATGCTATAAAACAGTTCCTCTAACTGTCTGCTGTATAATCTGCACAGCTGGTTTTCACCGTGCCCAAAAATGGTGCATCTCCAAAAAGGTACCCAAACAAAATTACATCGGTTTGAAGACTTGCTTTTTCCCTTATAAATTCCCACTTTTGGCAACACTCTTGAAAAAGCACTCCGCTTCGCTCCCTTGCAGCAGTCGTTAATGTTCAGTGGCAGTTGAGTTTTTCTCACTCTCTGTCCCTCTCCATCATTGTTATATGGACAGGATGAAATTTGTAAAGTGAAGGATGACAGTAAACCTGGGAGTCCTCTCTCCTCAGCATGTCCTACCCTCACCCTTACAAAGAAGTATGGCAGCATTGTGATAGTATCCAAAAAGAAGAACCAACTAAACCAGCTTAAAAGCAGTTTGGCCAGATTGGGAGACCAGCTAAACAAGCACAAAATCTTAAGTTCTAAACTAGCTAGCTAAGACCAGCAAACCACCTTAGGCTGGTTTAAGGGTTTGTTAGTTTTTTTGGTCAGCAAAGGATTCCGCATTCACCCCAACACAGGCACTTTAACACAGAGCTAAAATTGTCACATTCACTTCATTATACACAATTATTGTATGTACAGGTTTGACTAGAATCAACTTATGGAGCTTTTCCACTGCATGGTACGGCTCGGCTCGGCACGGCACGGCTCGGTTTGCATTCCCACTGCAGTTTTGTACCGCTTTAGAGTGGGCGGGATTATAGACATGTCATTATAGTTGCGCCGCCTCTACTGCCGTGACATCATCGTAAACACGACACAAACAAACACACAACAATGGAGCACATCGATGGAATGGTGTTCTTCATTCTCAGCATATGAATGTTTTTAACTGCAAGACGAAGGAGTTTGTTTCAAAAGAGGCTGATGGCAGCAGGTGCGCTCGTTCAAACGGTTGTGTTCGTTCAAAAAAAGTTGTGTTCGATCCTTGCTGGCTGTGCTGATTTAATCTAGCCGGTCTAGTGTCTTGTGTCGCAAGTTCAATGACGCAGGTTGTGACGATTCTCTCCGGCCAATCAGTGATCAGCAGGGTTTACGCATCATATTTTGGTAACGATATGGCTTGCTTGGAACCTCAGCCAAGGTGGTACTGAAAAAAGTACCAGGTACCAGGTACTGTACGCAGTGTATAACCCCCCCAAAAGCGAGACGTGCCGCGCCGTACCATGCAGTGGAAAAGCGCCATTAGTCTCGCACAGCCAGACCTTCAGACTGATGGCAGAAGGTCTGGGAACCTTGGCCGCTCCGAGATGACAATAGGTCAATAAACGATAACTGTGACTATATCAACATGCAATATCACTGATGAAAAAAGACGAGACTAAAATATATAGAAAAAAATTTTCATCGAAAAAAGGAGACAACATATTATTGCAGACTGCTGTACACGCCTCTACTACATGAGCTTGTGTGGTCACCAGATATCAAGAGTTCAAATCCACAAATTAGAGCTGTTAAAAGGATAAATTTTCTGCCCCATGTGCACGCGCTCGTTTTTCATTGCGGAAGCACCGACAATGATCTGAAAACACCGACAAACAAGTAAGCTGGAGTTTAACGATCTTCATGTGGGATGTTCGGCTTAAATGAAAGTGTCATTCAGCCAGTCTGCGTTCTGTCATGAGATTTCGATTATTTTGTTTCCGATTTCACTTACTCAACCGCTGTTATTTTAAAAGAGAAACATTATTGCAATTTGGAATTATTGTAATTACTATTAGGAATTTTACCATATGAGTCCACATTCTATTGATTTGGGCTTATTGGTGAAAGTGAAATAACTGAAACATATATATATATATATATCAGTTTAACTATGATACAATATGACGAAAAGTTTTCATTGACTAAGACTAGACTAAAATGCTCAGACATTTAGTCGACTAAAACTTGACTAAACAAAAACAGGACAAGCTTGACTAAATGATAGCTAAAAAAAACATTTGACACGAGGACTATGACTAAGACTAATTTAAAAGACTAACAAACAAACAAAGACTAACAAAGACCGACAAAATTAACACTAGGTAGGGGTCAGGTCAATTTTGCAGTCAAATTAACGAGGTCAACAGTGCCTAGATATATGAAGCACAGTTCACACAGAGGTCAATTTCAAACTAAGCAGTTTTCTGTCAATCAACGTAGTGAATTCACGTGACCAACTTGAACATGAACAAAATCTGAGTGGGGAACTATTTTGCCCTTATGATAAACTCCTGAACATGCGGATTCCTATTGAAATGACTGGATTTCACCGAGCAACAGTAAATGTGACCGCCCATTTAGGTGATCTATAAACAATGGAAGTCCATGAGATGTTCTTCTTAATATAGTGACACAAACATAAGTGTGTTTGAGTGCGCTTGTGTTGTGTTACCTTGCACAGCCTGGAGTTTGTGAGTCTGTATGATGATACAGAGCTGGAGGACCAGCTGAGGTGCGCTCTCCAGGAACGTGGCCAATAGGTGGAGCATGCTGACGTCAGCATACTCGTACACCATCCTCCAGTAGAACCTCCAGCGGTCATTCTCTCCGCTCTGCCTGCTCCTGATGCCCAGGTAGATGGTGTGGAAGTACCTGCGTGAGACACAAAGAAAACCCTTTTAAAACCTTTCTCTCTGAACTCTCACTGAACTCTCAATGACAGGGCAGAATCAGCTTCTGCGACAGACACACGGCTAGAATATCTAAATGTTTTGTCTGCTTTTCTTTTCAACCTGACCTTACAACCAGACAGACTGTTCTCAGCTATGTTGGTCTCTGTGCTGTTTTGTAAACAAGATTTGCCCATTTTGAACTGCTGATGAATTATATTATTTAATGTCAAAGCTGATGACTCGACACATCTCAAAATGATTCAACCAAAAATGGAACATTATGTCATCGCAGCATGAATAGTTAAACACTGAATTTTTTATAATGTGTGTAGTGACACTTTCCACGAACAGGGCACAAAATTGGACCTTTATCTTTTTTAATTCATCTTTAAAAAATGATCAGTGAAAGGAGGTGTTTACTGTTAATTGTTAACTCTAAAGGAAGTTAAATGATATTATATATTTTAATGTTTTGTTATTATGTTTGTTATGTTTTGTTTTATTTTATTTTAATTTTATATGAGGTTTGCGATTTTAATACATATCTGCAAACAGTTTAAAACATTTTATAGATATAAGCATAAATGAACATCAAAAATAAAAAGACAACTTTTTAATAATAAAAAACAATTAAAATAGTAAATTACGAGATCAAATGATACAGGGCGACACAAAAAATGAAAAAATTTAGTAAAATTTGTAAAAATTAGTAGTATGCCATTAACAATTAAAATTTTTTTAGTATGTCATTAACAATTAAAAAGTTGTTACTACAGTTAAATGAATATCACAGACTGTGAAAATTATAAAAATAGAGTTTAATTGTTAAATACAGTTGATGAGATTATCTCTTCAGTGGTACAGGCCAAGATCCCCATTTTAACACGGGAGTACAGGCGTGATTGCTGTTTTGTAAACAAGATCTGCTGTGGATGGACCGTTTTGAACTGCTGATGAATTATATTATTTAATGTCAAAGCTGATGACTCGACACATCTCAAAATGATTCAACCAAAAATGGAACATTATGTCATCGCAGCATGAATAGTTAAACACTGAATTTTTTTAAATTGGACCTTTATCTTTTTTAATTCATCTTTAAAAAATGATCAGTGAAAGGAGGTGTTTACTGTTAATTGTTAACTCTAAAGGAAGTTAAATTATATTATATATTTTAATGTTTTGTTATTATGTTTGTTATGTTTTGTTTTATTTTATTTTAATTTTATATGAGGTTTGCGATTTTAATACATATCTGCAAACAGTTTAAAACTTTTTATAGATATAAGCATAAATGAACATCAAAAATAAAAAGACAACTTTTTAATAATAAAAAACAATTAAAATAGTAAATTACGAGATCAAATGATACAGGGCGACACAAAAAATGAAAAAATTTAGTAAAATTTGTAAAAATTAGTAGTATGCCATTAACAATTAAACATTTTTTAGTATGTCATTAACAATTAAAAAGTTGTTACTACAGTTAAATGAATATCACAGACTGTGAAAATTATAAAAATAGAGTTTAATTGTTAAATACAGTTGATGAGATTATCTCTCCGGTGGTACAGGCCAAGATCCCCATTTTAACACGGGAGTACAGGCGTGACGTCTTAAACACAAGCTACCCTTTATGCTAGATAACATACTGTATCTAATAGTTCTCACAAAAAAAAACACGGGATGCTTGTCTACAGTGCTTTAAAAAAAAGTCATGGGACACCAAAGTGTTCTGTATAAATGGAAAGTGCCTGTAACGATTACATTAAAGGAAAGCAAAAAAACTAAATTACTCAAGGTTTTGTGAGTGAATCTCAGCGAGGACGTCTGCAGTTGAAAGTAACTTACCTCTTCATGGGCCTTTCTGCCCCTTTAGTCATACAAAGCTCTTCATTTGCTTGTAATAAAGTGAAAAAGTTCCTGTGCAAAAACTGAGGAATTTTAAACTAATTATCACATCTATATTTACCTTCCTAAACTTCCTATGATTCAAATGTAAATTTTAATTTTTAATATACACCTTTGCAATAAGGTAAGGAATACAGATGAGCTTCTACAGTTATTCAACTTAATACACTCAAATAGTTATACAGATATTTAACAAAGAAACCAAAAACGATTATATTACATAATATGCTAAATGCTACTACTATATTCATTGCACGAGTTCACATGCATGGTAAAACGGATTTTGCTTGCTTTACTGGAAGAATTTCTCGTACTTGCTAGAAAATCTTTGCTTCAAACACCAATTAGTATCTGAAGTCATTCTGAAATAAAATCTATATTTATTTTATGGTACCAACTCGGCAAGCCGCAGCAATAATCTCAAAGAAATTCACTTTTAAAAATTCTTGCTCGCAAAAAGGTGGAAAATCTGTAGGGATTGCTATGGCAACACTGGCCTCTTTGCTACAAAATACCAGAAAGTTGAACAAACCCGCTGCTTTCACAGGGAAAAAAAAGGCTGAATGTGACAGTATGTCGCAGACAAACACACTCATAATGAACGACTGCTACACAAAGATCTTTTAAAAGCACTGTGTCATCTGCTAACAGTAATGGATTGGTGGTGAATGGTGCTAATGTCTCTCAGGTATGTTACTGTGGCCCGTGGGTTAGTGTGATGCTAAAGGCACCTGCTTGCAGTGACGTGTCTTTGCCAAGTGACCCATCCCAGCGTTTTTCCCAGCAATCCCCACTGTGTAGTTTACCCTTTGACCCAAATAGGCATCCAGCCAAGAACAGACACACACTTCCATTTATACACACATATTCTCTCTCCCCAGAGATTCATTAACAGGCCGTTAAGAGCATCAGCTTGGCTGTTACCTTAACAAGAGGGCTTCAAACATACAAAAAACAAAAACACAATGTGTATAAATGCTTATGGGGGATACAGTCTTGTTTGCACAATGTTTTGTCATTGATTTCTTTGAGAGTGGCTGCCGCCCACTCTGTCTGCCAGATTCTCTCTGCTACAGTTTGCACTTTGATCATTTGTATGCAAAGCATGATTTTATAGTACACTACATGCCAACTTCAATCAATTCAGAGGCAATGAGTTTACAAGCAAAATATAATGGATACGTTGATTTATGGACAGAAAAAAATACTCACTAAGGTAAATGGTGGAGCACTACACTCATATCAGAATGAAAGTGCATGCCTTGAGGTACTGTGTTTGTTGAACACATTCTTGAATATAAATGCGTAGAAGGCACTGTACATTTTGCCCACCTGTTATTCCTTCATGCTTACTCTGCATTAGGAAAGGGTTCTAGATCAGTGTTTCCCAAGCACTGTTGAAATGTTGAATGGTTAACCTATACTGTTGAATCTATAACAGAATTTATGGCTTCACCCCCCGGTTTTACAGACAAGGCTTAAGCCTGGTCCCAGACTAAAATGTATGTCAACTGAAATAAACTTGCACTGACTGATCTTAAAATATATCAGTGCCTTTGTTTTGTCTCAAGATGCACACCAGTAATGTGTTTTCTAAGGCACGTTTATGAAAATTACTTAAATGTCCTAATTGAACTATGTCCTAATCCTGGTTTAGTCTACGCCCTGTCTGTGAAACCAGGCCTAAAAGTATTAGAGCTGTCAAAAGATTACAAGAATTTAGAATAATGAATAATAATGACAAAAATAAAAAATACTATTAATTTGTAGACATAAGAATATTTGTACAAATTTAATTTGTATAAATAAATATATAAAACTGAATTTATCACTTTAAAAATATTAGAGCTGTCAGAAGATTACAAGAATTTCTAATAATGAATAATAATAAAAAATAATAATAATTTGTAGACATTTTTAAAATACAATTAATTTAAAAATAAAATAAATATATAAAACAAGTTATCATTTTAAAAATAGTAGGGCTGTCAAAAGAATTTATAATGAATCTTTTAAGAATTTATAATAATTCATGATAACTGTAAATTAATTAGGTAAATTGAATAAAAAAATACATGCATACATACATACAGTGCCTTGCGAAAGTATTCATACCCCTTCATTTTTTTCACATTTTGTTGCTGCCTTATGTTAAACTGCTTTAAATTACTTTTTCTCCACATCAATCTACACTCCATACAGCATAATGCTAAAGCAAAAAAATTTTTTTAACATCTCTGCAAATTTGTTAAAAATAAAAAACTTAAATGATTCCATTGCATAAGTACTCATACCCTTATCTGGAACAGTTGAAATTTAGCTCAGGAACATTCATATTGCTTGTAAATGTTACTACACGTCAAGTGAAGTTAACCTGTGGCAAATTCAATTGAATGGGTATGATTTGGAAAGGCACACGTCTTAATAAAAGGTCTAACAGCTGATAATGCATATGAGAGCAAAAACCAAGCCCTGATGTCAAAAGAACTGCATGTAGAGCTCAGAAACAGGTTTGTATCAAGCCACACATCTGTGGAAGAGATCAGAAAAAAATCTGCTTCATAGAAGGTTCCAGGGATTAAAGTTCTCCGTTGCTACGACGGATTTTCGTTAACTGCAACGAGTCTACGACGGATTTCCGTCAATTGGAAAAAATGAGGGGAAAAGAAACATTTAGCGCATTGTTGTTGTTGTTCTGCTGAAAATCATCCCCGCCACGGCTGCAGCTTCTCAGTGACAAGATAGTGATGCCGCTCACATTATTCACTGTCGGGTTATTAGCAGAGAACACAGAGCAGAACTTGAATTTCGGCACTGGATTGCGGCTACCATTTCATTTGCACATGCTTTTGAGTCTTGAGAACTCACTCACGCGCTCTGATTTTCTGTGCGCCCACAGATCGCGATAAGGAGAGTGACAACTTTTAATAGTTATTAAGGGAGTTTGCAAATGGAATATTGATTTAATACAACAGCTCAATAAACAAGTACTGCCTGATTTTGCTCTATTTCTTCCAGGAAAATAGTTCCAAATATAGTAACAGCTCAGCAGCTGCGCATCTCTAAAAGCAAACACAGCGGTGTTTAATTCATTCAATGAAAGTGCGTGTTTGAACGAATCTAGTGAGTCAGTGATTCATGATTACCCATTCATCTCTTTCTTCATTCCTGAATGAATCAGCGGTTCGAACGAATCAATTGAATGAATGATAAAGTGATAAAACTAGTGACTTGCCGCCACCTGCTGGCGGATTTAGTTTCATTTTTAGCGTATAATTTCAGTTATTTAAATCATTTAATATTTCTGTATTCAAAATGTTATATTTAAAACTTTAATCTCCACATGAATGTATGAATTGAATTGCACTCATATACCTCTGAGCCTCATTAAACGTCTGAAAATGTACCGACAAGCCACTTTTGTGTTCTTCTGTGCCACCTCTGAAGTACAAATAATTTTTTTATTAATACTATTTCATATGATTGGTAGCTTATTTGTCTTATTCTACTTATTATATTGTTTTAAATAGAAATTTTAAAAAGCTTATAAACGTACATTTCTGAATTTGACAGATGAAAATGATGCCATTACAAAGGTAAAAAGAAAATACCCCTGTGAGTCACTTTAAGGAGTCAAATGTCACCTCATATTAGGAAGGATCATTTTTGATCAGAATTTTTTATTATTGATCAGAAGGTGCTCCT